GTGGCCGGAGGTTCCTCGCAGTCTGCTCCCGCCTGGGGCCACCTCGTCTCCCGGGACGGAAGAGGCGAGGGGTCTCCGCGAAGCTGCTGCTGCGCACGGCCGGGCGCGGGAAGCCGGGGACGCGACTCGGCGGCGACGTGGGGCCGCCAGTGCGCGTTGAGTCCGCTCCCGGCCTTGCTCCCGTTTCCTCAGACGGAGGCTTCGCCCGAGTGCGAAGGCCGTTGACGCGAGCCGGGAAGCGGGACGCCGTGACGGCAAGCCTGCAGCCGCGAGGTGCCCGTGGCCGGCCCCGAGAGCGAGCCGAGGGCGTTCGTCTCGGGACAATTCGGGAAATAAAGCCACACGTCGCCCTCTTGGCTCCACCCTGGCCGCAGAACGGGCGGCTTAACCCGAAGAGGACATTGAGACCGACGCAGCCCATAAGGAGTCCTTGTTCCTAGATCGGTGTCAGCCATCTGGGCCAAAGCCTGCTTAGAGGCTAGAAGTGAGTTACACAAAATTATTTCAGGAAAAAAATTCTCAGTTAAATTTTAAGTCATCAAATGGTTGATTCCAGTACCTTCACTGGCCCAGAAAGTGTGCACTGCCCCTTGCCAGTTTTTCATTGTCTTACTTTGAATAAGATCATGAATTACACCTAAGTGAAAACAATGTAAAAGGAAAGGTAGAATGTGTTAGCGGGCAGTGCTGGATTTCACCAGATCACTAAACTTCCCAGGCTGAACGCCAGCTTGAAATCCTTCTGTCTCAGCCTTCCAGAGTGGGGGGATCCTAGGCCGGTACGACCGCGGCCAGCCGGACAGTAGTCTGAAGGAAGTTCTTGAGTATTTGATCACTTACGCTGCAAGTCTAATACACATGGGAGTGATCATGTGAACATCAGAAGAACTAATACAAACTATATTATTGGTGGTGAGCCTTGTGCCTGGCTGCCCCTCCCTCCGGGGGTGGCTTTGCAGAGGTGGTTAGTGGGTGTGATTACTAAACCAGTCCACTGACTGATGGCTTGGCATGGTTCTCAGTGTGGATAATGAGGTGGCCCTCCCTGGGTGTGAGTGCTACCTGCCCTAAGGACAGCTATGGAAAGCCCTGGCCTTGGTCTGGTAAATTTATGTTTGTAATCTCATGGATAAATTATTGGAATCCCCTCAAGTTAATTCCAACTACCACTTCCAGTGCAACCCGTGGCAAGAGTAAAAGACGCTTAAGGCTTATTTGTAATTTTGGGGAGCCAAGGGGGCTAAATCCAGCCACAGTGATGGGTACCCAGGTGACAGCCTGGAGCATTGGCTCTTCATCCTGCCTCGACCTGGCTCACAGTAGAGAGCAGCAGGTGGAGTTTCCAGGAAAACATGCTTGCCATCCTCAAAGACTACCACCAGCACCTCAGCTAGACTGATGTGCTTTGTTCAAAGCCAACTGAAGGGCTAGGAAAGAGTCCTAGCCAGTTCTATATGTATCAATACATGCAGACAGGTTTAGGCACAGCCAAAATGGAGATGGCTACTCTTCTAAAGGAGAGTGGTCCAGGTGGTCTTCCACATATATATAGTGATATATAGTTACTATCAGCTCAGTAAGTTTTGTTAGAGAAATGAGAAATCTTTTTTTTTTATATTAAATTAATTCTGACCTGAGCCATCTCTTGCCAGAATTGTGCCTGTCAGGAGTTCTCTATAGTTTGGAAAACTTGAGGAAACAGCTCAGAAATCCAATTATAAACACATTAGGATGTAAATTGCCTAAGTTCACTGAATCTGTGTGAGTAAATGCACATCCTTTCTGCTACGTATTATCATTTGCCTTTTACCTCACACTTCAGGGTCAGAGAGGTTAATGTTCTTGGGGCCGGGGAGATGGCTCAGTGGAATAAGCACTTCCCTGGCGAGCGCAAAGGCCTGAGTTCAATCCCTGGTTCTGCCAAAAAAAAAAAAAAAAAAAAAAAGCCATCAATGGTTTGGCATAAAAATAAGAGAGGTTAATGTTCTTACTTCAGCGCCCACAGCCAAAGCATGGCCAGAAGCCCTGCTCCTTCCTGCTAAAGCTGGGGATAAATCCCTCAGTTTTTTATTTACTTATTTTTAAATTTTATTTATTTATTTGCAGTCCTAGGGATAGAACTTAGGACCTTACGCTTACAAGGCAGGTACTTATGCCACTGAGCTATCTCCCTGGCCCGATCCCTTGGTTTTTAGAAACTACTGTCTAGGAAGCTAATCCAAGCTGTTTAAGAATATAACCTTTGGCGAGAATAGTTAGGACATTTGGAGATGTATGAGTGATTTTTTTTTTTTTTAAGTAATCTTCATAATTAAGTTATGCTAGTCAGGCCTGGTGGTACACAGCTGTAATCCAGCACTTGGGAGGCCAAGGCAGGAGGATTGTTGTGAGTTTGAGACCAGCCTGGGGTACAGAGTGAACTCAAGGCCGGTCTTAACTGCATAGCAAGACCCCGGCTCAAAAAGACAAAAAAAATTAAATAAATAAATAAATAAATATGCTTTTGTTATTTAGTGCCTGGAAATCATGAATTGCCAAAAAGCTTGCCAGAAAGGCCATTAGATTATTCTTTGAAAAGCATTGTCTATTTCATTCACCTCTGACTTAGTCTAATTTAATTTTCTTTGAAAGACTGTCTCAAGTTTTTTTTTACTTTTAAGGAACATATATCAGCTCAGGCCTTTCCTTCATATGATAAGGGGGAAAAGATTTCTTGATAAATATTTACTGTTTCAAAATCTCACCTTGGGGGCTGGT